TATTAAGAACAGTATGCCATCTATGCCAGGTCCCTTGAAACATATGCTGTGCAGATGTTTCTTCCCTGCAGTGACTGTGTCAAGCAGCAAGGATGGACTGGCTTCCGGAACGGGACCCCTCAGGGGATGTCTGACCGACAGCCCGGGAGCCCTTGGGGAGCGGGCCTAAGCCATTAGTCGGACATCCTTAGAACTTCTATGGAGGTGGGAGAGGCTCCCGCCACCACCACTGCGCTGGCCAGCCATGAGCCAGCTTCTGGCTGAGTGGCACTCCCCCTGTGGAAGCACACTGACCATCAGGGGGCAGCTCCTGCGTTGAGCGTCTGCCCCCTGGTAGTCAGTGCGTGTCATAGCAACCGGTCATTCCTGGTTGTTCCGCCATTAGGGTCAATTTACATATTACCCTTTTATTATATACTAGGAGGCCCAGTGCACAAATTTGTGTATCAGGGGGGTCCCTATGCCTAGCCTGTGGGATCAGGGCGAAACTGGCACTCTGACATCCCTTGAGGGGTCCCGGATTGCAAGAGGGCACAGGCCAAGCTAAGGGACCCCACTGGTGCACGATCGAGGCCGGGGAGGGATGCAGGAGGTTGGCCAGCTGGGGGAGGACTACGGGAGGGCTCCAGGGCGTGTCCGGCCCGTCTCCCTCAATCCCGATTGGCTGGACCCCAGTAGCAAGCTAACTTACCAATCAGAGCGTCTGCCCCCTGGTGGTCAGTGCACGTCATAGTGACCGGTCAACTGTTTGCCCCCTGGTGGTCAGTGCACATCATAGTGAGCAGTTGAGCAGCTTTAGCATATCATTAGCATATTACCCTTTGATTGGTTGAATGGACAACCAGACACTTCACATATTAGGCTTTTATTATATAGGAGGACTAGAGGCCCAGCACATGAAATTTGTGCACGGGTAAGGTCCCTAGGCCTGGCTGGCAATCAGGGCTGATCTGTGGGGCAATCGGGGGGCCCCCATGGCACCCACCTTGGCCGGCCTGGCACTCCCACCCCAGATTGCCCTGGCGCCGCCGCCCCCCGATCTCCCTGCTGCTGCCATGAGTTGCCTGCCTCTGCAGGGTGACCGGCAGGGCCATCGGGGGCCCCCGCTGGCACCCACCTTGGCTGGCCTGGGGCCTGCCGGCTGAGGGCAACTCCTGCATTGAGTGTCTGTTCCCTGGTGGTCAGTGCATGTATTAGCGACTGGTCGTTCCACTGGTCATTACACTGTTAGGTCGATTTGCACATTAGGCTTTTATTATATAGGACTAGAAATTCATGCACAGGGGCTGGAATCACCTCAGCCCAGCCTGCACCCTCTCCAATCCAGGACCCCTCGAGGGATGTCTGACTGCACATTTAGTCCCAATCCCGGGGATCAGGCCTAAACTGGCAGTTGGACAGCCTTCTCACAATCCTGGACCACTGGCTCCTAATTGCTCACCTGCTGGCCTGCGTGGTCCCCCCTAACTGCCCCCCCTGCCAGCCTGGTCACCCCTAACTGCCCCCTGCTGCTGGCCAGGTCGTCCCCAACTGCGCCCTCCCTGCCGGCCTAGTTGCTCCTAACTGCCCCCACCCCACCGGCCTGGTCACCCTTTACTGCGCCCCCCTGCCGGCCTGGTCACCCCCAACTC